TCACCCCTAAAAAGGGCCGTCGTTTTTCCACCCTGAACCCATTGTCCTATGATTGCAGTACAAGATGCGTTCGTCCGAACCTGTTTGTCGCGAACAGTTTCCTTTTCGGAGGAAGAAAATTTATACTTATATCGTATATTTATCGATTAATCCAATGATCGAATAGTGGCGACACAGAAATAGAATTTTATTTCGATTTCAGAGCAACTGATAATTAGCCTGCGGATTTTATACATTTTCGACGAAATAAAAAACGTCGAATAGAAAACCGTGAAGACATCAGACGAATTTGTGATCATTTTTCAATTATATAATTTCTTTTTCTCGCTGTTAAACGAGCGAACGACGAAATACATTATGGTCGAACTTACGTCCCCTGCGATTAACTTAGACAATTCTTATTCTGCATAAAAGTCCGCAGTCTGTTAATAATACTCGCGATCTCTAAATTCTGTTCGAAATCTTTGGAACCGATTCGACGCGACATTACAGGGCAAAGGATGAAATGATCATCATTGGAAACTAATGGACATCCTTCGCGTCAGAAGGACCAAATTCCAAATCTCTTCGAACGGTTTCAATGGTGTTCGGCAAAAAACACCGTAAGCAAATATAGCAGAAATAATTTGTCCGGCTGCGTCCCTACCCCCGCAGCACGCCGCGACATATTAAAACCCCGCGTGTACAAATATTCGCCCTCGCCGTAAAGAAGAAAACGAATGGGGGAGGTCAGAGATCCGGGGACAAGGGATGAACCCGTGCGCGGGAGGACACTAGAGCAATCTAGAGCAAATATAGACGCGGCCAGGAAGAAAAAATATTGATGAACCATTTTGGAGGAAATCGGGGAGCGACAATGGCTGAATTGTGTCCGGCCGCCCCGGAGGGTGGCTCGAGCCGCGAAACAATTAGAGGAGGGCACACGCTCACGGACACAATGCAAGGATGATTCTGGCGGCCGGAAATTTGTTGGTAATCCACTCTTCTGCGTTTTCGGTAATGCAGTCTGGACATCGGACCTTGGGACCAATTTGGCAGTCGTTTCGGAGCCAGCCGGGGAAATATGCGCGAAGTGCTTTTCCGAAAATATCCTCGAACAGTTAGCTTACCTTTTTATCTGGGCTAGCGTTCAATTATCAAGCTAATGCGCTTGGCGTGCAAGACGTTTCGGCGCAATCATCGTAAACGCAATGCAGTTTATACCAGCATGGTTTATCGCGTAGAGACGTTGTTCCGAAAATTGCCCATGAAAATTTAGTTTCTATTTACTCGAGTGTTTCTTTACGAAGATCGACCTGGATCGTTTCTTCCACTTAGGATAGAAAATTAACACGTTGCATGCCCAACATATCTGTCCGTAGAAAAAAATATGGACGCGCGATAAAGTTTACAGTAAATTCTCCCTAATTTTCCTTCAGCTTGTACACAAAAAAGGACAATTTGCGAAGAGAATTATTCGAGCCTCGTTGCTCATTTTTATAATCGCCGATTGTCAACGATTACAAAAATGAGCCGCGAGACTCGAGAATAATCGTGTCTCTCCTCCTCCCCTAATCGTTCATTTTTGTTTACAAGCCGCAGGAAAATTACGGAGAATTTACTCTATCAAAAAACGCTTCTTTTTGATGCAAGCACAAATTGTCTGTAAAAGTATTATTTTTCTCCTCGAATCGGAAGTTTGATAGGATAAACATCCATCCTTGGAGAAAAAAAGGGCAGAAAGAGGCGAAGAGTTTCCGAAGAGAGCAAGATGGCAATCCTGGTAGCTCCAGAGGTGTGCCACGTGCTCGTCGTGAATATCGACGCAGCCGAGCCGTGCCTCGAGGATTTCGGTGGCCCTCCGGCATGTCAGCTTCGCAGTTGACATTTCGTACATTGCGTCTTCGGATGACGCAAACCGGAGGGTGGCCGGACGGTCGAATTTGCAGTAGACGCGAGACACCGGGCGAAATAGGCCACGGTTACGTAAAATCTTCGCAAACTCGAAAATCAATAACCCGTAGCAACAATCGGCCGTGTAGTTGGCCAGCGGAACGCGCTATTAGCTCCCCGGACTGGCATGCACACACACGATGCTATGGTACTTCCATTATACCGGCCGGTTCTAGCAGCACCGAGCCCCTAAGAAACGTCGAACAAAACCGGCCGCGTTAAGCTATAACCAAGTTCCGCAGAGATGTGTCCATTGATCAGAAAGTTGGCAACGAGCCCGGCTTCTCGGGCCCGGCGAAATTGGACGATAGTTTTTGGGTAAATAGCGCCCCCCGGACGTATTTCCCGAATAGTTAAAACGTCGTCGCGATATGAGATACGATTTCAATTTCTCCCCGTGGAACAGAGAGCGGATGGATCGATGATCCCTCGATTTTCCTGCCGTTCTTCGGCGTGACTCAGCCGAAGTCGAGCGTCTCCGATGAACTGCAGGAATTCCACGGGACATATCGCTCGAACGAAGATATCGTCCATTGATCTGGCCAGGGGCCGAGCCAAAAGTATAAGTGGTCGGGTTCCATGGTGGTCGGGGCTGGCGGAAGGCATTGTTACTTCCGAACTGCCAACGTATAATTAGCCCTCGATCGCTCCACGTGAAATATTGCGATGTCTCGGCCGGGTCATCCCCTTTAACGTCTTCTTCGTCGAAACATTCCCCGATGAAACCGCAACCTCGCCCGATCGCGCCGATTCTCGAAAACGAGCCGGGTGTTCGCCGAAAAATAGTTGCACCCCTTTGTTTCACTTTTTACGCTTCAACGTTAATCCTACCGCGTCGAAACGATCGGTTCCACATTTGGTATGTTAAAATTGTTGTCGAGATTACGAAGAGTCTTCCGTAGGAAATGATCGAACGTATTTCGTAACTGGAGCACGCGTTGCAATAAAAGCAGCAACACGCGTAAATAAATTCAGTCTTGTAATTCCTACGAAGCGACGCGTGTCGGACATCTTTAGTGCTCGTTGATATAGCGTTAAGCGAATTAAGTGTATGTTACCTCGTGCTTTCATAGTCCAACGCTTTAGGAGACGATTAATGGTCGAAGGGGAAGGCTCGCGGCCAAATTGTAGATCAATCGAAGAAGTCGAATTGGCAGCGATAAACGATCGTCCGTAATATCTCGATTCGCTCGGTCGCCTGAACGCGCATGTGAATATCTTTGTTTAAACCGTGGAATTCGTAAGAGGAGCCCATTCATCAGCCACTTGGCCGGGAGCCTGGTCTCGAGCAGAACCGTAGGAGTCGTCCTCGAACAGATGATAGTTTAACGCGAAATTGGCGTAGAAACGTACGCGACGAGTTACAGATTCCGCGAGCGTCGGGCCGAAAGAAACGAAAAAGTACGACTCAGATCTTCGAACGGAGATATCGTCTATTATTCAGAGGGGTACGCGGCAGTGGACTCAAGGGTAGTTCTGATCGAGCAGATACGTAGGCCCCTCCGTCAGCGATACGTCTACTTTCGCGTTCCAAATTGCCCCCCTCCCCCCGACCCCTATTTTTTCACCGAACGTCTCGCAATTACGCTCGCCCCGTTAAAAACTCTGAAATTCGAATATAATAGACCGGAGGGACGGTTAAGATTGAACAGATACTTCAGTCCCCCCCGGGCACTGCTCTTAAGCACCCGACACCCGGTTAAATTATTCATTTCAATTCGCTTCCACAAAACAAAGTTGGAGCCATTTAGCCGGTAATTGAAGACCGCGCCGGGAAACGAGTAGCTCCACTTTTCACGGAAATCATTCTGCTCGTTGAAATCTCGAATAGTTTTTATGCATTTCGATTCGTGCGAGAGGAGGCACCGCGGTCTTCGAGATTCCTGGACATTCGACTCGCTTGGAGGTTCGTCGTTTAACGGAATCACATTGCGCCCGAGGGCTACGGTTTTCCAACAACGCCTACCACACTTAACTGTATTATTTGATTTCGACAGGGCGCACCAGTGTACTCAATTGTATTTCGAGTGTGCTCGGCGACAGCCGAGTAGCTGCTTCGAATGCATTTCCGCCTTCGTTCATCGTTGCAGTACTTCATCAAATGTGACCTATCTCCTCCGCGAGGTTTCGGATTCCACGAATATCGTGCTCTGCGACTTCGCAAGGTAACATTGATCTTCGTTCGCAGAATTGCCATCTCGTCGTGCTCGTTGCAGCCAGGTGTTAAAGTCACCCCCTCGTCCAGTATTATGCAACCAAGCCGATGATAATAAACCAAATTCAGAAATAACTTCACGTTGATAGATGCCTCAAATCACGGCACAAATCGGGAGAATAATATCACCGGCGTTCGTATGATGTCCGGACAACGTCTCTTCGTCTTCGCAAACGAATTATTCACAGCACCAGCGCCGCGCCCGACTAGAATACGACGAAGGGAAGGGTTAAATTTTCTTCCAAAACTACCACGGACAAAACCAGTTTCGACCAGTTTCATATTTTACAATTCTGCACTTAGATACTCGTTCCTGGGAAATGCTTCGGCGAATCGCATTGTCGCGGCATGTTCGCCAATAAAAACTATACCTACATCTCTAAATATATTATTCGGTCTTCCCGCATTCATAATAAGCCCCGCGCGGCGTGAACGCAGGTTAGTCGGATGCTTCCTGGTGAAAAGGAGCTTTTCAATCGTCATTTTTTCCCCGGAAAGCGTCTTGCTGCGGAACTTGGCGAGTGCCCGAAGAGAAGCGGGCGTCCATTGATCAGGGGGCCTAGGGGGTATAGAGAGCCGAAAGTGTAAGAGGCTCGATGGGGATGGTCGGGGTGGGACAGATGGTATTTTACGCCTCCGCGTAGGCTTCCACACGTGCCTAGCGACCGGCAGAGCCGGGTCCACGCTATAGGTATGTTAAGCCTGCTCGAGGTGGAGGTTGGAGGTTGGAGGTTAGCAGCGGAGGTGGAAGGGTGGCTTGTCGTCGGGTAGGCTACCGGTAGCGGCAGGGAGGTGGTCCGCCGCGGCTAGGGCGCAAGAGGCGCCCGGTGGGGTGGATATTGAGCGACGCCGGGCGTCGTGGCGCACTGTGCGGATCAGTCGCCCTCCAGCCACCGCCCCAGATACGAGTTCAGCCACTTCCGGTCCTTCTCGTCGCTGGTCGGACGCGTTCTTTCGCCGACATCACCGCTTTTCAGTTTTCGTTCCCTTTTTCCCCCCCTGTAGTCTCGCGCGCGAAGCTTTTCCGTTTCGTTTTCGCCTAACACGAGAGAGAGAGCGAAGGATTACAAGTCCGACAATCACGCTAGAAACATGCTGATCGGTCTCGTGCGCGACTCAGTGCTGCAGTGCTTCTGTCACAGCTGCAAGGCACCCTTGAGCATCGTAGGTGAGTCATTAAGTTCTCCTTCGAGCATCTAACAACGCCAGATACCCTAACCGGAGATGCAACCGTTCTCCGCTCGTGGCCTCCACCGCGACCCTGGCAAAGCCTTGGAAGCCAAATGGGAGGAGCCGCGGTAAATGATCCAGGTGATCCAGATTATCGGCTAACTTTCGCCTCTTCGCGCCATTCAGGGCTCTGGTAAGATCGCCGCCGTTGGCTTACTCAGTTTCGATCGCGATCGGCGTTCGCGATATGTAAAAGATATTATTTTAGCTAAATAATATTATATTACTATTATATATAGCTAATTTTGTCCTGTCGGTTCACGCGGTTTAATCGATGTTCGAAAGGAAAATTAATGTCCAGATTGCGAAAAGATAATTTCTATACAGATCGGTTCAATGTCGCGAATAGTTGTCGCGTTAAAGAAAGAATTATTTCTCGTAGCTCGAAGGCCTCGTCTTACGTTTGCCCGAAATTGATGGCAGCCGTATTTTCACCGCAGTCGACGGTGGTCGATACCACGCTGGTATCGTATTATCCTAGACACCTGCAGTTCGATCAATTCCGCCGCCGTCCACCAATCGGTACTCATGGTGCACTTGTGCCACCGCGGTGCCACCACCATGCGTGCCGATCGTTTGCCGTGCCGGTAACCATGAACGAAACTGATCGAATTTCTCGTCCACCCCGAAACATTAAACTCGAGCTTCCGCCGAGAAAGAGAAAAAGGGAGAGAAAGAGAGAGAGAGAGATCAAAGGAAGGGATAAGCGGGCAAATTTTCCCAGCGGCTTTCACGACAATCGTTTCGAATCTGGTCGAGTGCGGGCCAGGATCTTAGGGGCGGTCGTCACGCACGTGATCCACGGAAAAGCACCGCGAAACGATCGGGGTGCGGCCCAAGATGGCCACCGTGGTGGCCGGCCCGATAGCGAGTAGACGGTTGCATCGATTTCCCGATAATTAAAGCACGATCCCCGTTCCCGTGGCCCCCGACGGTAACACGGGGCTGGCTCTGATCGATTTTGAATTTTCGAAGCGGGCGACAGGAGGGGCAACGCGCCCTTCAAGAAGCCGAGCGGCAAAGGAAAACCGCGGACCAAGCAGCCGAAGAAAGTGAAGTTCATCAGTGAGTACACACAGAGACGGAGATCCGCGCGCACCGCTATTTTTCTACCCCCCCTTTAATTAACGAGCCGTTCTCATTACGCGGCCGTGATCGAGCCCCGCGCTTAATCGCCCTCGAGTTTATACGCCTGGCCGCGCGACGAGCTTTTCTCCCCCGTCAATGATGTTAAAGCCGATGATCTGAAATCAACCGGTTCCGGCAAAGTCAAGGTAAACGCGCCGCGCGCGTAAGCCGGTGCCGGTTCCCAGCCGCGTCTCGCATCGCTTTTTCGGAAAATCGATCGAAACTCCGCGGGGGGGAAGGTGGGAGGAGGGAAACCGCGATCGAATCGCCCTCGATTTTCCGAGAATCGTTAGGCGAAGGTGCAACGAACCCGGCGCCGCGGCGCGAACAGTCGCCAATATGTCGCCGGGTGAATTATAAATCGACACCGGGCGAATGTCGGAGAACACAAACGCGCTCGGCCGGCGCCGTTGTACGTGTGGGGTGGCCTCTGAAAGCTGCGTGTGCCGACGCTAGACGTCGTGGCGCCTAGAGACAATCGTCCCGTGGGCTGTGATCGATCCTTCCTTCTCGCGTCTCTCTGAGTCATACTTCCGTAACTGACACGGCTACCCCGGGATACATGGGGATCGAGGATTCCTCTCCGGCCAAATGGATTGTCGCGATGACGCTTTTTAATCAACGACCCTTAATTGCCGCGCCGATTTATCTGTCGCCTCGGTTCGCTACGTCGCTAACAGTTCCAGGCGTCGCTTCATTCCCGGGATATTAATTGTCGCGCTGCGGAACTTCTCGTTCATTCCGAGATTAATCTCTTGGCTGATTTATAGATCTTTCCGGATTCTCATCGATTTCTCGACCGTTTTCTTGATCCCCCTATTGTGATTTTGCATCCTGAAAATATATAATCTTATAGTAACATTGCTTTTTTCAAAAATAATTTTGCATAAATAACATCTTAATTTTTAAATTTTCAAAATTTTCCAACAATTTTTTGGTAAATGGTGAATTTGATAAAATAACAATATCAAGTTCTGTATCACGTCAACCAGATTTCGTATTTTTCGCCCTGCTGCACAGAACTCTTCCGGTCGTCTTTCGTTCAAATCATATCAGCCAAGGTGTTAATCCCCGTGGCCCTCTTCAAACGTAGTTCCACATTAGGCTCTAGTATATCACTTCAGCCTCTATAACGTCACCCTTGAAATGAACAAATTGTTGAATGAGAAAAAGATACATCTCAAGACGCAGAGAAATCGCAAAATAAAATTTTAAACAATTAAATTTGATCTCTGATCTCTGAACGCACAAAAGCTTATCCGCGCGCAAAGCACAGCTTCGCAACTAAAGAATCAATTCTTCAAGTAGAATCTGGTCCACTTTCGCGAAACGGATTAAATCGAGTTATCAATGTTGGGATTACCGGGTTGATATAATTAGGATCTAGGGGTGTTTGAATACGATCGACTTACCGGCATGCCCTACAGCGACCGAGATCCGATGCCAGGAAAAGTCGAAGGGCGGCCTGTGCTACGAAGTGATCTTGGCAGAGCCAACAGTGCCGAAGAGAGCACCGTCGCCGCCACAAACGAGTCCGACTCAACAAGTCGCTATCGAGGACAAGCTGCGTGCGGCGGAGGAGAGAAGACTCTCGCTGGAAGCTCATAAGCTGGCCGCGCTCGCCGCGAAGCTCAGCAGAATCGAGGAGGCAGCTCGCAAGAAAGACGAGCTTAGCGCCGCTTTCATCGCCGCGACCCGCGAGTCCCTGGACGCCAAGATGAACAACACGGAGGAGAAGCGAGAGGCGCACATCGCCGAGCTGAAGAACAAGCTGAAAGAACACGTTAGTTCGCGGGAGGCGCTCCAGCAAATTGGATAATCCTCTAAAAATCCATTCTGTCATGCGGCACGGATCGTTAGAGCTTATCTTTCTGTTTCCGTTTTTTCAGTTTGAGAGCTTCGAGAAGAGTCGCTTGAGCCTTGAACAGCAGACCGAGGAGGTCCGTCTGGCCGTCGAAGAGAAGCTGAAGACCGCCGCCGCTCAGCGCGACGAGAACATCAAAAGGATGCTGGATCGCCTCAAGGAACACGTTAGTACGATTCGTTGGCTTCGGTCGCCTTTGTTCGACGGCGAATTAGACGTTTGTTTCGATAAATGTACAGGAGGAGCAAGCAGCTCGCGTCCGCCAGGCAATATCCGAGCGTGTCCAGCAGCTCGAGACCCAGATCCAGGGCAAACTGGACCAGGCCCGTGAACGTCGCGAGAACCTTGAGCGTGAACAGAAGGAGAAGCTGCGCAACTACGTAAGTCCAGACACACAACCCGTCCGATAATAACGTCTACATTCGTTTCTAGCTATTATGGTTTGGTTCCGTTGGAGCAGTATCCAGGAAGGATTTCTCCCTTGTTGTAGCTCGTTCTGGTCTCGCACACACTTGGTCCCCCGTTGGCTATGTCTATAGAAAGCGTTGCATTCTTTTCCGAGGCACAATTGTTTCAGTGGAAATCCTTTCTTCCTCCGCGCACAGTATGAATTCACCCCCCAATAAGGGTCTTTGAAATGGCCGTTTCGGATAGGATTTCTACTACGGAGAAGAACCGGCGCCGCGAGAGATTCAACGCCGTGTGCAGGCTATTCGCCAGCACGTAATTCCGCTCTCTTTCTTTGAAAGAGACTCGATATTCTGGTTGTCTTATTGCCATCCTATTCGCCCCCGTGATCTCTTGCTTCTTATGGTATCTGTTTCGCTCATAGGGAGTCCTGTGATTATATCAAGTCTTGCTTTCCCGGATTAATTTGCAGAGGATCCACGAGGAATCGTGTTACATGTAGCGTGCGGGATGTAAATTATACCTGGAAAATCATCATGTTAAGCTAAATTCTTTGACTACGGCCTGCTTTAGACAGCTCGACGATCAAAACGCAAAAAGAACCATCTGTCAGAAACGTACAGTCTTTTCGCAAAACCCGATTGAAGTACGACCAATCGCGTGCCGCAGAGCTTCCCCCACTGGTGACGCAGGGGGGCGGTGCCGCGTCACGCCATTGGTCTCAGCCTCAAAGTGCTTTTGCCGGAGTACACCGTTTGCGACACACCGTTCCTTTTGATTTTTTTTTGTTTTTACCATTTGGACGCGTAGAAGCCGTTAAACGGGGTAGACTAACGCTGGATTTACGCCCCGTATGTCCCCAGCCACGGTTATTTTCAGCATGTCTCTGCGTTCACGGTGTACCTTAGACGTAATAGCTAGCTCATTATCAGTTGGCATGGAACTATTTTACGTTCTGTTTCCATGAAATAGTTTTAAGCTGGCCGGAGGTTGGCAGTTTAAAGTACCGTTGGTTTCTGTTGTTCCAAAGGAGAGGCGCGCCGAGATGGTGAGACAGAACAAAGCAGCTCTGTCCGAGCAGTCCAACCTGCCCGCCGAGAACGAGACCGCCAGCTCTGGGTAAACTGGAGATCATTTGCGATCGCAATCCTCGTTAAAATACTTTTTTCATCGTGACAGAATCGAGGAAAGAGGGACAGAGGGAGGAGGGGAAGAGAAATGCGAGATTCGACTAATTAAAGGGGCGCTCGCGGCGTCAGCTCGCTGAATAGGTCATCGAAGTTACGTGTTTCAAATTCGAGAATTAAATCCAAGGAGCAGTTGCTCGTTGTGCTTGGCGAGGCCTCCGTTACGCTTTGTGCCATTTTCGTTCGCTGGATGAAATAAACTAAACAACAAACAGACAAAAAGACAAAAAAAAAAGACGAAACGAGATCGATTTCAAAGGAACACTCGCAAGCGATTGTAGTAGTCGGAGAGATTTGCAATTTTAACGATCATTATTTAAATCACGACGGTTGGGAAACTACACAGTTCGATTAGATAAAAAAAGAGAGATAGAGAGAAAGAGAGAGAGAGAGAGAGAGGGAAGAGATGTAATTCCCCGTCTTTCATTTTCCCAACCGTCTCCTGTTTTATACTCGTGCAAAGAAAAATTACTGCCTTTATCTGAAAGAGAAAACTCGTTTGCTTTTAATAGGGGAGAAGGTGTCGAGAAAAGGTGGTACACATATATATTGTACACGTACTATACCAGAATTTTTGGATATGACGTGTAAAATATTGATTTTTCAGTTCTGACGTGCCTACCACTTACATGATTGTAGATCCTCTACGAGATGACATTATTATAAACGGATATAACTTCTCTGTGTTTTGTGATTGATTGTGTACCGTTGGAGTCACTGATACTTTTTTAAGATCTCTTTTCATTTTTATAACATGCTTGTTTTCAATATATATATAAATATACATATACATGTATATGTATGTATCATTTTTTTTATGATGGCTATGGTGGTTGTTGTTGACTTTTAAAGCAACCCGGTCGCAAAGAAATCATTGTATGGATCGTAAAGAAAACGATCGGGCCAGGAGGGAACGTGTTAAGCCTTTTACAATCCATTTTGTACGATCATTTTCACTATTTATCTTCTTTCTTTTTTTTTTACAAACGTATTTTTCATTTTCGTATCGGTATTTCTGTTCGTTAAAAAAACGTTCTTTGCTTTCATTCATAGAGTAATAAAATAGAATACTACCGCTACAATTAGATCATAAGTGGTAATCGCGACCATATGTGTGTACACATACCATGCGTAAATAAACGAAAGGAAAAAAAGAAACAGCGTACGTATGTGTGTGTGTGTATGGTATGTGCCCGACATGTAAGCACACTCTATAACATTATATGATAGTGCTTTATACTAGGCTTGAAAACTTTAAAACCATTTTGTACTCGATCATTGTAATATTACTGCGCTAACTGAAACAAGAACATTCACAAGATATGTAGTCTAATTGAATATGATAATATGATGCTTCTGTGATGACTTACTTATTTGTCAAAATGTGTAGTGTTTAAGTGAGAAAGAGAGAGAGAGAGAGTGTGAGAGAGAGAAAGAGAGACATTTGATTCCTCTACGCACGCATGGTTACCGTGGCTAGGGGCCTTAATTACATTCGTATTATATATCATCGCTGGAAGTACATATTTAAAAACAAACAAAAATAGAAAGAACACGAGAAACTAAAATAACGAGAAGTAATTTGAATCGCGCGCCCGTGCTGGAGCAAAGTTTTCGCCAGATTTCCCTTTTTATAACAATATTATCGGTAGCTGATGATTCCTCGGCCTACATAGATATGTATTTCGTATATATATATGTATATATGTACGTGCACATATACATATTTTATACAAATATCGGGGGGGATGTTGTTAAACTCGGAGGAAAATTTTCGCTCTGGTCACGGTATCGCTGCGAAAACGAGAAACAAACGATGGCGCATAGGAAGAACAACTTTGCCGCAGTGATATTGCAACCGATACCCTACGATCTAGATATCGAATAACTATGTATACATACAGACAAATTTTTACAAATGGCTATTTGCAGAAGTGCTAACGCGAGATTTAACAAAAAGAAAAAGCGAAGAAGAAGGGAGAAGAACGAGGGGAAAGAAATGTAACAAATTAATTAATCGAAAAGGAGATCGAATGGGAGAACATATTAGTACACTTACTACGTCGACGAGTATGCAACTGTAACCTATATTGCCGAGTGTTGATTCGCTATCTGTCGCAATGCCGATACAGAAATAAAGAAGGAAACATAGAATTCCGTTACTTTTTTTCCTATCGCGATTACGACAGCCGGCGAGTAACGTCTATTTTTGCATAATTGTTGTGATCTTTTTGCAAAATGTAACTCGCACGATTATTAAATATAGATGCCCGACGTATGTATGTTGATGCGATTATCCTTTTCGACTTACGTTATTATATATTTATATATATATAAATATATATATATATAGATTTATACGCGGCGGTATATATATATACATATATATAGATATGATATGGTTATTACAATTTACAATGTACGTATGGTTTCTTGTGAGCTTTGGTATTGTCTTATCGTAAAGCGACGGAAGCAAAATCGACACGCAAAAGGGAACTTATCGCAAAATGTATTCGTACGAACGAACAGAAGAATCGCAAGAACCCGGCTTCTGAACGATACATTGGCTGCCTTCGATATTCTTTGTTTAACTTTTTCGGTTGGGATATTGTGTGTTCGACCGAGAATATGATTATGTGAAGTAAAAGGCCGTACCTACACGCATCAGCAGCTGTTCTTTTTTTCTCTCTTTCTCTCTACTTCTATTTCAATCTCTGTCTCTCTCATTCCTTTTTTGTCCGTCCTAGAAAAACCATGGGTCGCATACCATACAAAATTCGACTGGAAAGCGTACGTTGTTCTCGATTCCGAATTTTACGGCCACGAAAATTTGGCGCTGCTATTACAGTACTAAACATTTACGATTCTCGGCCGAATGTCGTTACCGTGCGTCGGTAAAACAGCTCGTTTCGAAATCTGCCAGTGCCCCTCTGTTTTTTTACGGACCGCAGAACCCTGTCCATTACGGGGATCCATAGAAATGTGCATAATAAACGCTCAGACGTGTTTCCCGGCTTGGACAGTACGATTGCACGCGAATTATGACATTGCAAGGGATTGCAGGTAGAAACTGGTCGACGATACGTAGGTTACGTGCTTGTCATTTCGAAACGGACCGGTAGAAGCTGGGGAAACGGTCTAGATACGGCACCGGGATCAACAGTGACGTCAAAGGCTGTTGAATGGCCGAAAGCCAAAGGCTAAACGAAACGACGAGATTGGCTTTATAGCAGAGTAGGTAGAGGGCAAATGGCTACCGTGCGGCCGAATAATAATGCGTAGCCAGTGCGGGACGAGTGAGGAAATTCGTGATAAAGTGCGTGTACGATGTTACTGAAGGGCCGATTACTGGAGAAGAAGAACAGGAGGCATCATGGGAAAAACACCAAAGCCACGGCCGGTAAGTGGATAGATTGGTACGCCAGGAAATTTGCGAAATGGTTCGCCTGCCAGTCGACGAGAGAGCCCTGCTGCGTTCACGGTGTGTCCCCCTAAAGGTTTTTCATGGTATCGACACACGGCGACCGGGACCTGTGTACTCAAATTAATTACAAGTCCTTTAACACGATCCACACGATTTAACAATCGTAAACACGGGGCCGGAATGCAAAAAGTGTGCGCGAATAGCGCGATCTTCGTTCCGCTGCAGCTTTCAGGATCGTAGCGAAACTGCGCCGAACGATATCAAAACAGACGGATGACAAACGATGAACCGTGGCTTCGATGCGGGGACGATCGAAAACTCGCTTTGTTTTTGGAATTCGACCGAGGAATGCGCGACTACGGTGACGTTAGATATTATCAAGGTTATGCGTGGCAGCGTGCACTCTCGTACGAACTTTCTCTTGAGAATTGCCGTTGGAGGACCACGTCCAGTCTTTCATGATCAATGGTCGACTCGTGCCATCGCATTTCGCGTATTATTGCAGTGACCATAACGCGTTAACGAACATACGAATATTGAGGTTATGCTGCTTCCAATATGGACGCCGTACGGGCTCGCATACACAAGTACATTTCATGCACATGGCTCGGTACACATGATCCATAATTTTTTTTCCTAAAGCCTCGTAGATATCGCCGCCTCTTCGTTACCTGACCCGTGTGAAATAAACAACGCCACGATAACGAATCGCGTTTGAATTCACGTCGAATATCAGTTGCGAGCAAACACGCTTGTGTGTGTGTGTGTGTGTGGAACGCGCGTAATTATCAATGAATCCGTACTTCGTTCCTTCGTTTGACAGGGTTGTCGATGCTGAAGCATAATTGACATCGCTTACTCATTATCATTCGCCACCCGTTCGGATAATCAACCCTACGATGTCGTATACTAGTTGTAAGACGTTCGCCTTTATGCGTTAACTGCGCAGATTCTGCACCGTCAGTTTCAAATTCGAGCCTACTTTTTCCTCGGCACAAAATCTTATCGATTCTATAAATTAAATCGGCGTCAGCCGACAAGTTTTTGCGCCACGTAGCTGCATTTAGAGAGAGTTGTTTATCGCCCGGAATATCGTTCTATCATAGGACGCATCGTTAACCGATTTTTCTGGAATGCTCCGAGCATAAACTAACTATTCTATAGAAACGCAACGTTGACCGGTCGAACTACAAACGCGCGCGCCCGATGCCACATCGATACGTCCTGCGGTGACAAGTGTAAAACATTCGTCGCATTCTCAACATTAATAACAGCTTTATACAACATGTTCGTACAAGATTGCTTTCACTTTTCGTTGAAACCAGTGAACACGTTCCCTCCAAGCGCAATTTCCGCCGGTTGCTCTCGATCGCATTTCGCGTTTACGGCTACATTTAACATATAACTTCCCGTTCATATAAAAGCTTTTACTTTTATTTACGATTTACGCAAAGTTACGTAATTCCTAACATACGAGCTTCGCTAAGTCAGAATCAGATTCGAAACACGTGTTCTTGCTTTTGTGTCTGATGATTCTGTGTATAATTTGATTCGTTTACCGTCAAATTGATTTCAAATAGATTTTAGCGTTTCCTTCCGGTATTTTGATACAACTCGATTCGATTGAACTTTGTTTTTTTTTAATAACGTTTCTATCGGTCGATAGATTTCATAGAAATGTTCGTCCATCGCGCGGTATCAGACGCGATCGATCGCCGCTCGATAATCGGGCACGATTAAATCGATGGATCGTTTCGGGTCGAGACCGGAAACTAATCGAGCGTAATCGAAGCGTTAGGAAAACTATTTTAGCCGAAGCGGGTTCTGTTCCGTCTCGCGCGTCACACGGAAAGTGCGTGTCGGTGAAACCGTGAAAATGCATTCTTGGCGTTGCTGCGATAAGAATAGAGCGAGGAAGATAGAGTAAGATAACAAATAAAGAGGAGATATGTACGGGCACACACGTAATCGACGACGAGAGAACCTCCGCGTGTGAGTATGTGTGTTAGAGGAGCCGCGCATACAGCGACGCCTGTATATCTCGTACAGAGGAATACGTCGATGCGACGTGCACAGACGTAATTGTACAAGTGCACACGTTGCCATGACGATAAAGACGCCGATCGATGTTTTTAACCGGGCGGAATGCATCGCGTTGATTTCGTGTTCGATACCTTGCGATATTTCTGTCTTCGTATTGCGCTTTTCCGTTCCTTACCGTGCCGTATGCCTGCATCTTGTGATCGATCGAACTCCAGTCATGATGCTTTTATTATAAAAGCTTGTTTGTACGTCCGGTTACGGCCGTTTCACGCGATACTCGAATACTCGCGAACGATGGTTCCCATAACCAATTCGAGATCGCGATCGATACCGCGCTGCAGCCATTTTGAAATTTAAAATGGCACCTGAGGCCGTTTTTAAACTTTCTTTTTTTTCGTAGGGTGACTTTTTAATGTTATAATTAAACAGTAACCGAAGATTCTTCGGTTTCTTGTGATTTCATCTTTAAACTTTCTTTTATTTTTTCGTAGGGTGACTTTTTAATGTTATAATTAAACGGTAACCAAAGATTCTTCGGTTTCTTGTGATTTCACAGGGATTACGATGTTCGGCCATTTTGAAAAATATAATTTCTCAAGCAACAATTGTAGACTCTATTTTCGAAACGTTTTTTTTTTTGGCGGGGGGCAGATTTTTTAATAAATAATGAAATAGCAACTAGACGTTTTTCAGTTTCTTATCGTTTCTAACGCACAATAAAATAATAAAATATTGGATGTTTTTCAGGTTCTCTGAGAGAACCTGAACAGAAATATTCAGTCACAATTCATTCGACATGATATGTTAAAAACATCGAATTCGCAAAAATACATGCACCGTAAAGCAACATCGTTTTATAGGCTAGCAAAATTTTTATTGCTCACGCACTAACAATTAATTAACTCTCGAACATATCCGCTGTCGCGAATGTTGAGACTTTAACTGCTAGAAGCCTAGTTAAAGGCGCTTTAATGACTTGAACCGTGTGGTTAAAAATGCTTGATAATTTTCTTTTATAGGAGCGATTATACTTGTATTACCCTAGGCAATTTATTGCCTTACGAATACAACTGCTGAGACTTTTGAATAATTTATAATCGATCGGACTTTACTTCTTCATCCAAACATATATACAAACATATATACGTATATCCTAATAAAACTGTTACAAAATCTGCATTGATGTAATCACGTGATTGATATCAAGCAATATTTTGTCGTTTTCTCAACGACTGTTCCGACTGACTAATTTTTCGGTAGGTAACGAGCGGGTTCGTTAAATTCTTTCGTCGACTTCGTACGCAGATTTCATGGCCGCGATGTAGGTCCGCGGTATCGCCAGAAATCGACCTTTCGCCGACCGTCCTCAGGATCCAAGTCACCATTGCGCCAGATAATCTTGTCCTTGAAAGTCTCGTTGTTCCGTCGCGATAATGGCGGCCGGCGTCGATGACTTATTCGTTCGGGACGGTTGGTCAGTGACCATCTTCATGGTCTAGTTGTAGACATTTTTGCCCCGTGCCCCCCGATATACGATAGCGTCGGTTCCCCGATATCTCGTCGGACGCCGGACGTGTTATATAAACTTTGTTCTGCGTAAAGTCTACGCGGGACCGAATAAAACGCCGCTACCAAAGCCGGCCACGTAACACGCCGGCCGAACAGGTATGCGCCTCGAATCGGAATAACGGTACCCGGAATGGTCAAATTAAGTGGGACTAGTTCCCCGTGGCTGTGAGAATCTCTGATCTCATGTTTATCAATAAATACGACCCAGCTGTGTTAACGAGCCTCGGTCCCGATTATATTAAACATTCGTTCCCCGGCATTTACGAGCGCGTCGCCTTTTTCTTTTTCTCTTTTTTTTTTATTTCCCCGCGAAATGAATGATCGTCACACGCTCATGCAAATCGCCGGTTTCGTTCACGAATTTCGGGAATTTGATCTTCCGCGCCGGATATGAGGTAGATACGTTCGGGACATATGTACTCGGCGCGCACTTTGGAGGGCAAGCTCGGCGGAATTTGATTTTCCCAAGTAGATAAGGTAGATACGCAGGTTCGGGGTAGGTCTGCGGTCTGGTCAGCGTACTTCGGACAGGAAGCTCGACAGAATTTGATTTTCTGCGCTAGATCCGATACGGTGAAAAAGATCTGACGGCCCCAGTCACCGCCCTCTCGAGACGCACGTGGACCTAAAA